GCCTGCACCCCTTGTTCTCCCAGAATCTGCCCTGCTAGACATCTGCCCATGTGCTGTGTGTCTTGTAGTTACTCTGTCCCTAAGCAAAGGACTGAAAGGAAAATGGCCCTGAGCATGAGTCTGCCCTAAGTTGAGCATCTCACAGAAGCAGATTCCCTCAGGACTAACCTAACCAGGACTGGACCTCCAGCCTCTGTAAGGCAGAGCCCATGTGGATGATGGGGTGGCTGGTGTCCCCTTTATGGTTTGTTCGAATGTCCCCCCAAGCCTCATGCAGTCATGAATGTGGCTGAATCTAGCGTTTATGATTGGTTTGTTGTCTGACACTGGGATTGGTGATGTGAGTGCTCCACTTGCCTAGAGGTGGAGCCGGCATATAGTCTAAGGTCAGGAAAAAGGCACTGTCTTTCCTCTCTTTGGCTCTGTTCACTCTTGCTGTTTGTGGTGGCCGTGAACAGTGGTACCATCACGCCACCCTGCCTTGGAGCCACCTGAGTATGAATTGAAAGCTCCCAAATTGCAAGAAATAAACCTTCCCTTCCCTAATTTTGGCATAAGGTATTTTGTTTCAGTAACAAGAAAAAAGTAACTATGATACCTCCCAAGAAGTGAGTAGTGGGGTGACCCATGTTTCTTGGAATTATTTGCGCACTGATGCAGGTGTCCAGACAGCCACCGTGGACCTGAGGCTACCAGAGAGAAGACAGCTTGTAGCAGGAAGTCCGGGACCTAAGGTCCATTGAGCAGCCACGCCCCAGCCCTCAGCCTGGTTTTGTGTAGGGTACATGGTGACAGGACAGCACGGCACCTCCCCAGCAAAGTCTTGTCAAGTGGAACCAACTCCTCATGGTGCTCCTAACACTGGAAGGAAAGGCACCTCCCCAGCCTCTTCCCTCCCAGCTCCCAGGCAGGGCAAGGTGGAAGGTGGTTTCTTGATTTGAACCTGAGGCCTCAGATCATGCGTTTGGCACAGAGCCACTCTAGCAAAGTGACAAGGCCGCATCTGTGGGTGGACACAGGCCTATGCCACACCCAGCACTGCCCCGGAGCACATGCTAGTGCATGGGCTGGAGGACAGCAAGTCTGGGTAGTGTGGGCCAGGTATGGGGTGTACCTGTGAGAATGATGGCAGCAGCTTAGGGATCCTGAGGTCTCTGGTGACTCCTCCAGCACCTGAGGGAAGGGACCACATGCAGGCAGCTGGCAGCTTGTGAGTCTGAAACACAATGAGTAGACCAGCAGGCAAGGATCTGGACCTCTGTGATTTTGGGAAATCTTTTTAGAGGCCTCAGTCTTTAGCTCAGTTCAACAAATGCAGAGGGCCATATAAACCCACATCTAGAGTGGGTTCTAGAATGTCCTGAGTGTCACTGGGCTTGGAAATGGAGCCAGCAGCCCATCAGCTCTCAAGCACAGAGACACTGCTGGTGAGTTGCACCTCTAATTTCATTATTCTGGTCTGGGGATTGAACCCAGGGCCTTGTACATGCTAAGAATGAGTCTAACCACCAGCGATGCCCCACACCCTGTACTTCTTTTTTTAAAATTTTAGACAGGTCCTATGTAGTTCAGGCTAGCTTTGAACTCACTATGTAAGCCAGGCTGGCCTCACACAGCAGTCATCCTGACTCGGCCTCCTGAGTGCCAGGACTACAGGCATGTACCACCACACCCAGCTAACCCTTGTACTTTTTTTTTTTTTTTTTTTTTTTTTTGGCATCAGAGATTGAACTGATGACCTCGCGCTTACCAAGGAGGCTCTGTGCCACTTAGCTGTATCCCCAGCCTTTTGTACTTTTTATTTAACTAATTGAAGCTGCAATGTGGGACAGCTCCTGAGAACATTTCAGAACCATGGACAGCACACAAACTGTCACCCAAGTGGCACCTGCACGGCAACCCCTTCCCATTACGGCTATTTCTGTAGCTTCTCAGTTCCTCCTCCCCGTTCTACCTGTTCCTGGGCTTCCTCAAAGTGAACAGAGTGTCCTGTGACAGTGTGATGTCTCAGCTCCACACTCACCCTTCAGGCTGTCTCTGTGAGGACAGTCAGACACCAGGTTGGTAAACTCAGCTGTTCTGGATTCAGGCATGCCATGCAGGCATGGACACTCTGAGGAGGCTGATGCAGATTCTTCCTGAAGATCCCAGGGTACTAGGCAGACCCTGTGGCCCTGATTCTCCCAAGCCCACTTTGATCCTTACGCTGTTCTTGAGCTGGGGATAGCAAATGTGGTGCATGATATCTGCTGTCTGTCAGGTATAGGACCAAAGCCATCTTAACCATTCTCATCTTAAACTGTGATCCTGGCTGGCCCACTTCCCTTGGGATGTCTGTTTCTTATCTGTGAAGTGAGACTTTTGTGGAAGGCTGTTTGTGCACTGTCTCTGGGCTGGGCCCAACACCAGGAAACTCATACCCTATGATGAGTGAGAACCTGTGTCTTCCATTGTGCTAAGCATGAAACATGGGCATGGGTGGCACCTATTTGGGCTCCAGTGGCTGGGAAGTCTCTAAGTAACACTGAAGTTCTGATCAGTTGAGTAGCCAACAGGACACATGAGGGCAGAGTTGCGAGTCCAAGAGATGCAGAAGTCAGGTCTTAAAGGGCCTAGAAGGCTGGGAAGGAACCTGAATGGTTTCAAATTAGGAGTCTGCAAACTCCCATTCCGCCTGTGAACTAAAATTCTTTTTCTTGAGACAGAGTTTTTTTTTTTTTTTTTTTTTTTTTTTTTTTTTTGCTATGCAATTCAGGCTGGCTTGGAACTCATGATATAGGGCAGGCTGGCCTTGAATTTGTGGTGATCCTCCTGCCTCAGTTTCCTGAGTCCCTGGGATTGCAGGGACCAGCTCTGGTGACTTACAGGAAGTCTGCCAACTGTGCTATCTTAGGCAGAGTGGCCTTACTGTGCAGGGCGTCCAGACACCCCATCCTGTGTCCTGCTGTGTGGAGAGCGATAGAGGATGCACAGAAGACAGAAGAGGGAGGAGGTGATGGCCTAGGCCAGAACAAGGTCATGGCACTACAGAAAGATGGCAGGAGCAGGGTATTGTTGGATACAGCCTTTGCCTGCCTTCTGTCCCACAGCCTATTACTTGCCTCCCCTGGCACCTTGGGGTCCAGCCCCTGACCCTCTGCTCCATGTTGCAGCTGCAGAGTGGGGGCTGTGGTCTTGGTCCTGAGCATAGGTCCCACGGTGCTGGCAGAGACTGGATCCTATCTCCTGAGCACTGCCTCCTCCTCACTACTCATACATAGCATAGCACATGCTTTGGGTCCTGGCTTTGGTTGGGCAGGGCTGATCCTGGAGGTGAAATATAGGTGGTTGGCATGGTCTTCCTGGGACAAGCACCTAGGCCACATGGCTTACAGTCTCAGCCCTCTCCTCTCAGAAGCACATCCTTGTCAGTACTGCTTATAGTACCAGAGTGGGAAACACCCCAATGTCCACTAATTAGTGTGTAAGTCAACAAACAATGGCATATCCATCCAACTGGGTCATTTCTGGCCAGAAAAGGAATGAAGACTTGCCACCTGCCACAGCATGGATGGGCTCTGCATACCCAGTAAAGAACGCAAGACAGAAACTATGTACTGTGCAACTCCAATTGTATGATGCACTTAAGAGTGGAAAATAGGGAGACATAAAATAAGTTGGTGGTTGTTAGGGACTGGAGTAGACAGAACTGAGGAATAGCCCTGGGGCAGAGAGTGCCCTCACACCTGAGGTGACACCTACAGCACACAGGTGGCATCACACATGCAGGACACCTCCCATGCTGGTGTGCTCAAATAGGGTGGTACAAACTTGGGCTCACCTAACAGGGTAGTGTCATACTTGGCACACACCTGAGGTCTCCCAAGTGCATGGCAGTCAGATGCAGCACACTTCCTTTCCTGGTGCATGTGCAGCCGGAAATCCTCAGGCTGACCCCCTCCACACCACATCTGCTCACTACACCACTAGCATTGCACACACTCAGGCGCAGGAGGGTCACTTGAGCCTAGTAAGATCAGCATGGGAAATGCATCATTTTCCACTGACCCTGAATATTTCTCCACTCATTAAATATTTTTAAAAAACTATTCTTAAAATGGCTCCACTGTGTGATCATATTATTATTCTGATGAACCCATGTCCTTGCACGTGTGCTTTACTCCCGAGCTACCGTGCCACCACCACGCTGTGTATACATCACTTACACCTCACTCCTGCTTAGCTGGGAACTGACTAAGACTTGCAATGAATAGCCTTGTTTTTTCTGTGTATTTTTGATGACTTCCTAAAATTAATGGGTAGATCCTGTACCTACGGGTAGTGATGCAAAAACCACCTTAGCTAGTTGAGAGATGTCCTTAACACAATTATGAGACTTGAAAGTTTCATCCATGTGCCGGTCTGTGTGAGGGGAAGTGATTCCTGATGTCACAAAGGTAAACTTAAGTTCTCTCAGCCACTTTAGTTTGTATTAGCACTACCCAACAGGACTTTCTGTGACAATGAAAATGAAACCAGTGAAAAGCTCAAAGGTGGTTAGTGACTGATGCACTGAATTTTGTGTTTCAATTCATAGCTATATAATTCTATGTGGCCAGTGGCTGCCATATCAGACAGTGTGATCTGGGAGATGTCCCTGCTGTTCCCCTCACAGGAAATGCACAGGTGTCTGCTCTTCAGAATGGATGCATATTTTTTTGTAGCTGCCCTTGGCAGAAACAACCTGAGTCTGAGGAGGCACAGAGATACCACTTATGTTGGGAGCTCTCATAATATAGGCTGACAGAGAGAATTTAATAAGCTAAAGCAGCTATTTATGTTTGCTACTGTCAAGAAGTTGAAGCTGTTTTATATTCAATTGGTTTTGCTAACTGAACTCACACATGTATATACAGGACAGGTGACTAAGACACCCAGGAATCCCTGATGATGTGGACAAGCTGGTGGCAGAGGCAGCAAACAAGGCAACAAATTATAAAACTTACTTTAACTGGAAAGAGTTGAGATCTTTGTTAAATTTATTTTTTGAACTGATGATGCTTTTACATGTTTCAAAATTACAAAAATATAACAGATACAGAATGAAAATATTCCTCTTTCCCATCCCTCCTTTTTTCCCAAGGGCAACCAGTATATCTGTTTTCTTCTCTTTCAGAGAGTAAGTGCATATAAGCATACATTTCCTCTTTACATATTTGGAAATATACTATGGTTTTGCATTTTGCTTGTTTTCACTTCCCATATTTGGTATATAAGGACAGTCTCCATTTTTAAGGCTGTGATATCTACTCCACCATAAATTACTGAGTTCTCCATGATGAATATTGTGGTTGCTTCCAAATTTTTTACTTTTAATATTAATAGTATAATGAAAATTATATACAAACTGTTTGCACATGTACACATATGTAAGATTTATTCCCAGCAGGTTTCCTGAAACAAAATCTTTCTGTATTTGTAATTTAGACAGTGACTGCTAAATTGCAGTCTACATGAGTTTTAGCAATTAATACCTCAATTAGAAATACACAGGAAATGTCTCTACCTCTTTGAGAAAACTTGAAGCTGGTAAAATGCTGGGTGAAGGGCAGGTGCACTGTTAGAATCCTCCTGAAAGGTAATTTTAAAAGCTACATGAAATTCATCGACACGGGAAATGCTCAAAGTATAGTAAAAAACATGGGTATAAGAGAATGAGAAAGAACCCCAAATTTCTTAACATGAGATTACACACACACACACACACACACACGTTTCAGATTTAATGTACACTCTGTATATGCATCTACATGTTTAAAAAAATTGTAAGGAAAACTTGGACTTCCGGGAGAACATGGTGGATAGATAACAGCAGCTACAGAGGCTCTCTGAGATACCCAGCTTAAAATCCAGGAATGGTGCGGTGTGTGGAATCCTAAGCAAGGGGAGATATACGCTGCCGACCCAGTAACGAACTAAGCTGAGAGAAACCAACTGGAAATGCAATCCTGGTGCTATCCTGGAACAGATAAAATCTCAGTGGAAGCTGGAACCCGTGCAGCGATTTGAATTTCCTGCTGCTGCGTCTGAATCAGCACAGCAGGGACAGAGAGGCGAAATCTCAGCAGGAATTGGTGAACGGAGTTGAGAGCGGAACTGCATCTACCTGCGATGAGTGAGAGGATCAGGGACCCTTCCATAGACTAGAAGGCTCTAAAATAGGACATTCTGGGATGGGGCAGACTAGCCAGAACAAGATACTTCAGTGACTTTAGTCACATAGTCCCCTCTCAAGCAGGAGGATTGGTAGGGAGCCCTGACCTGGGTGACGCCACGGACTAAGACCCAGTAGGCTAGCCCAAACCAGGTCCCAGTGCCTGGCGGTGCACCCTAGCAGTGAAGCCTTCAGTAGGTTGACTGACCTGGAGGGGCGGGCCCAGCAGAGGCTGCCCAGGTCTGTGTCTCCCTAGTACACTGCAGTGGGCGGGAACACATAGTTGGTGGATTCACGCTGGTATGGACGGAACAAAAAGTATGGGAAGAGGGAGCAACAAGAAAGGGTCCTCGGCCCCCAATCCTGAGAACACTGATCCAGGAAAGATAAATGCAAAGGAGAATGAGGACAGAAAACATGCAATATCAGACAAGGCACCAATAGACATAAAGCGAGATCTCCGGAGCCTCATAGATGAGTTCAAAAATGAAGTATTTAATGACCTAAAGCAAGATATAAGTAGAATAGTTAGAGAAATGCTAAGCACCACCCAATAAAAAACAGATGGTGGAATGGAAGAGCAGAAAAAAAGCGGAGAATTGTTTAATGGAGAAAGTAGAGAAAACATAGAATAAGTGAAGCAGGTTCAAAGAGATTACCAGGAAACTAAAAACTTTACCGAAAGCTGGCATAACAGCTTGAAAGAAACTAAGGATAGATTATCTGAACTGGAGGACAGATTTGTAATGTGGGAGCATGAAATGAAAAACTTCTTAAAAATAACAAGAAAACAAATAGCAATTTTAAAAAGGCTTAAAGATAAGAGGATCTATAACTTAAGAATTAAGAACGTAAAAGAAGAAGTAGGGACACAAACAAATGAACTACAAAGGCTATTCATAGACATAATCCAGGAGAATTGCCATAATTTAGCAAAAGGTAAAGATACTCAGATGTATGAGGCATACAGGACCCCAGCCACCTACAACCTAAACAGAACAACACCCAGGCATATAATAATATTAAAAGCCATCAGAGACAAGAAACAGATTACTTACAAGGGAACACCCATCAGAATTACAGCAGACTTCTCAGCACAAACCATCAAATCACGAAGAGCGTGGGGGGAAATAATTCAAGCTTTGAAAGATAATAACCTCCAGCCAAGATTGATATATCCTGAACAACTGTCCCTAGAAATTGATGGAAAAACAAGGTGCTTCCAGGATAAAGAGGAACTAGGGGAATTTGCAACCACCAATTCAACTCTACAGAGAATACTGCAGGGTATTCTAAATTAGAAAAATACCAAGATTCTAGAAACAGTGGTAGAGAGGACACAATGAATGGAGCAGAAATCAAAATGAAGAAGACAAACTGACAACTAATGACAGAAAAAGAGCTCAACAGAAATGAGGCAGAGAAGGTTGGGTGGTAGGAACAGCTATTTTGCAGAAAACAAGACATCATAATAGCTAGTGCTGATTTAGTATCATCTTGTTTTGAAGTCCCATCAAGCTTTTGTTCTTCTGTCTCCATCAGTCTTAACAGGTTGTATCTTATTGGATTTTATTATATGTGATAATATAAACAAAAACTTTTATAGACAAGGAGATTATACAGAAACCAGTGTTCATTTTCTGTTAGTTGGTTCTAAATACCCTGTAATACTGTCATTCTCTTGAATGGTTTTACATTATCTTGATATGTTTGATGCTACAGTATACGAAGTTATACTCAAAGATTTTTTTTTTTTGGTCTTTTTCATTTTTTATCGGTACCAGGGATCGAACTCACGACTGCCTGCTTGCAAGGCAGGCGCTTATGCCGCTGAGCTAAATCCCCAGCCCCTATACTCAAAGATTTCAAGGAAGGAGACACTATGGTAACTACTTTTATGTCAGGATATCTTGTGGTGAAACACTATTTTGCTTAAATGATTATGTTTTGAGCTGTGCTGTTTTGCTGTTATGTCTTCTTTCATCTCTATCTCCTTTTTTTTATTATTTACTTTTTAATTATCTTTTTAATTTAGGGAAAAATAAAAAAAGGATATATTATAGTAAACCACTTTGATTTCCTATTAACTTGATTTGAAACCCTGTATTGCTCTCAGCATCTTGTTTTGACTGATTTCCCTCTGTTCAGTTTTGCTTGATACTACCAAGTTTGAGTGTATAGGCAACAACTGTGAAGACAGTAAGATTCGTTATGACGTCCATTCTGGTTTGATTATTATCTTCTTTTGAAGTCCTGGAATGTCTCCAATGATTTGGTTTTATTGGTTTTGTTCAATTTTATTATAACTGATGATATAGGCAATTCTTTTTAAGATAGCAAGAGGCATTATGGTAACCATTGTTGATCACCTTGTTTTTTGTTTTTACATTATGTATTATGTCCATCCTTTTGATTTGACTGACTCTGTTTTGTTATGTCACTTTTGGTTTTATTCTCTTCAAAAAAAGTAGTAAGAACTGTGGGAGTAATAAGACCCAAAATACGTAATTGTCATTGTACAAAAGAGAGGAAAAGAAAGTGCTCTAAAGGATATAACTGCGTGTGTATTTCAGTGTATAAGATAGATAATGATATTACTGAGTTTTGTTAGATAATTGAACAGAACTGTTTGCAGTCTCACTGTTTGAATGTCCACTTTATATTCTTTAATTTTGTAACTTGAACAACTATTTCTAACATGACAATATGTAATCTACTAACTAATGATTTCCTGTTTAGTTTTTCTGAAATTCTATATAACTTGTACCCCTTTTCTGTTTTTCTTTTTCTCCTTAAATAAAATTAAATTTCAAATGAGTTTTTTTCCTTTAATTTTTGTGCACTTTCCAAGTTTTGGCTACAAAGGACTTGTGTTACTTAATAGGTAAAACCATGATTTCCCCTAGAATACAGTAGCTTCCCCTGAAGTTTCTTGTTATTCCAGACATTTACAAGAAGACCAGTAGGAACACTATGACCGAACATAAGCTGAACTGACAAATGACATCACACAGATCTCCAGTGCTTGTTCCTTCTAGTTTTGCCTGTCCCACCTAACCCAGTAAAGATGCTGGGACCTTAGCCCTCCCAGCATCCACTGGGAAATGTCCAAACATGGCCCCTTCGGGATCTGCTGTTTGGGGGTCAAGGTGGAGGGAACAAGGTAATCATAGGCTTGGGCTTCCACAGCTGTCAAGAACCATATGTTACTATTGCTCCCTGGACAGTCCTAGGCCCTGATGGGGCAGTGAGGATGCACAGTCCCAAGCGGGGTCTAACACCAGGCTGTCCTGGCTGGCCTACCTGATAGCATGTCACCTCCCTCTGAGGACAGTGGCAGTGGAGATGGAGGAACAGACTCAAGATGTTCATGGGGTAGAAGAATCTGGCCCCCTGATGGGAGTAGAGTGAGGAGGGGTCAAAGGTGGTTTATTTCCTGGCTCCAATGATGGAAGGCAAGGAGCAATCATCCTCATGGAAGCAATGGGAAGGGGAATTTATTTGGATAGGAAAATGGCAGTTTGTTGGGGAGCTTATGGCCATGTGGCGGCAGCTACCCAGTAGACAAATGTTGTTGGGAGCTGAAGCTCAGAACTCAAGAAACACCAGACTCACAGTTGGGGTAAGCAACACAGCCAGAATATGGATGATGCCTGGGTACCACAGTGAGTTAGAGGATTGCCAGGGAGGCCAAAGCCCCCAGAAGTGGAGGGAACAGGGCACCACAAGAACGTGGCAAGCTCCACAATCTAGAGGCAGAGGGGAAGCAAAAGTGCTGCTGACAGTCCTGGCAAGGGTAGTTCCTGTGAAGGTAGGGACAGAAGTCAGGGCACTGAGGTGGATTTTGGGAGCCCAGAAGAGTCTTCTAAAAGCTAAAGGAGAAACCCAGAGGCTGCTAGCTACCTACATATCACCCACTTCCTGGGACCTTGTCTCTTACCTGTGCCCACCAGAGGTGAGAAACGTGAGATGTCACCTTTCTAAGCCTCATTATTAGGGTGATCCTGTGACCCAGTCTTGGCCAATGGGTCTTATGCAGGTACGCAATACTGGCTCCCAGGAGACTCTTCAGTTTGAAACACAAGGCTGATGTTTCCAGACTGCTTCCAGTCTTGATTAGAGATGCACTCCCTGGAGCTTTAGCCATCTCGTTGTGACCATGTAGGAAGACCTGAGAGACCTGCAGGACATACTGGTTCTGACACGATGGAGTCACTGAAAAGTTAGCCTTGGAACAAAACTTAGTTTCAGCCAATGTCACTGGGCACTGACATCAAATTCTGACTCCATTACTTTCTGTCTGTGTAACCAGGCTGGTTATTTTGGCTTCTGCTTAATTTTCCTCCTCTGTGCAATGGCACTATCGCACAGAACCACCATCGGCAAAATATGCCAGAAGGTGCTCCTTTTCATGTAAAGGGAAAGTTACCTGCTAAGATGAAACAGCAAAGGGCACAGGCCAAGGAATGGTGGAGTCAATATAAAAAAGCAATCTGGGAAGTGAAACACAACAGAAGTGAGCCCAGGACTTGGTAGAAATGAAACAAAAGGTAGAACTGTAGCACTCTGGAAGCTAGGTGAACCCTGGTGGGAACCCTGGCATGGAGGCTCTCTCAGCGCCCAAAGAACAGTGGGAAGACCCAGTGAGCCACAGGGGCAGTAAAGGCAGGTTCAACTGTCCGACCCTGGAACAAGGATGACCATTCTTCCAATATTACCCAACCAATCCAAAGCACTCCTGCAGTTAGGGTTGAGGGGCTGGTTTTTACATGCTGAGTTGCACCATACTCCATCTTCCTTCTTTGCTTCCTTCCAAGTTCTGATGCCAACATGTGCTTAACATCACTAGAATGCAACTACAGTGGAACACAAATGCAAGAGCAACTGGTTACAGCTGGGCACCAAAAGGAACAGCTCTGTCCAACCCAGTGTCCCACTGCCAAACTTCACTTTAAGTAAAAAGCACATTTAAAGGAGTTAAGTTTTCTGGAAATGGAGGAAGAGGGGAGAAAGTAAAAAGAATTAAGATGGACTGAGAAAAGGTAACTACGTCCCTAAAATCAATGTAAACATCATGCACTATGAACATGGACTAAGAGAAAAAATTTTAAGTAAGTTTAAGTCACTGCTTTTTACATCCCTTGGGCTATGAGACTCCAAGGACACGCTTTTTTTTTTTTTTTTTTTTTGGTGGGGGATAGTGCTGGGATTGAACCTAGGGTTGTGCACATGCTAAGTAAGCAGTCTGCCACCAAGTCACATCCCTAGCACCTTTTTTTTAAAAATAGGTTTTTGCTAAGTTGCTGAGTTGCCCAAGGTGGACTTGAAGTTGCAATGTTCTTGCCTCAGACTCCAGAGTAACTGGAATTAAAGGTATGTGCCTGACTACACTGTGTCAAAGATCACATCTGCTATATGACGTTCCTTGTTTATCAAGAACTGCACAGAGAAAGGTCAAAAACCTTTGTTTTTCTTTGGATAACCCTTGGAGGAAAGCAAAATAATAGAAGTTTCCCAGAGTGGACATTAAAATGTGGTGGTATGCTCTTATCATCCCAGCACTCTGGAGGCCAGGCAACCAGGCAAGACTGTCTCAACATAAAAAAATGAAGCCGGGTGTGGTGGCTCATGCCTATAATCCCAGCACTCGGGAAGGCTGAGGCAGGAGGATCTTTGCGAATGTAAGACCAGCCTGGGCTACACAGTGAGCTGGAGGCCAGCCTGAACTGCATAGAGACCCTGTCTCAAAAAGAAAAAAAAAAAAAAAGAAAGACGCCAGGTGATAGAATCAGTGCAAAGGCTCTGAGCTCCAACCCTAGTGCTTGAAAAAGAAGTTCATCATGCCAAGCAAGGAGGGTGTGACAGGCACTGTCAGGTAGGCATAAAATTTAGGTTTTTCTGTTTTCTTTTTTCTTTTGATAGATAAAAGACTAAATAAGAAATTGGAATTAAAAGAGATTTAAGAAAGAAGAAACTTCGGGGCTGGGGATTTAGCTCAGCAGCATAAGTACCTGCTTTGCAAGCAGGCGGTTGTGAATTCGACCCCCGGTACCGATAAAAAGAAAAAAGAAGAAGAAAAAACATCACCTACATGCACTCTGTGATCTTGCTTAGATGATGACTATTTAGGAGCTAGGAACATTTGAACACTGCATAGTGGATGCTGTCTGCTCAGACATGACAATGACAACATACAGTTCTATTTGAGATTCAAAAGAATTCAGCTTTTCCTCTTTCAACACAAATTAAGTAACATGAACTCTTCTCTTTTCTGTGATGCCCAGGTGGAGAACGTGAGTGATGAACTAGGGTACCAGTATGATTCACAATCAGACCCCATGCATTACCACTGCTGCCGAGTATCTCCATTACCAGGGTCAGCTGAGTAGGGCCACACAGCACAGTGTGACAACTGTGACAGCTTGTCCTTGAGACTGGTGCAGTGTGACAACCACGAGAGCTCATCTCTGAGATCAACATAGCAATGTACACAAAGCCCTGGGTTTTAGAAATACAACCAGAAACATGGATAAAGTAATGTCTGAGACTGATGTGAAAATAACTCAGGGTAGAAGAGGAGGAAGTGGTGGAAGAAACAATGAAAATGTATCATTCCTGCTTTAAAGCACAAAATGCTAAGACATTATTCAAAAAAGTAAGTGGATTCTATGCTGTTCCTACATTTATGAATACTGCAAAAGTGGAGAAGGTTGATGTACTGCACGGTGAGTAAACCAGCTCATGACTACTTGGATGAACTTGAGTGGAGCTGCAATCAATAGGAGCTTAGAAAACATGAGCCCCAGTGCTGGACTGGGTTTCTACAGAGTTTTTCCACCCTGGCACTCTGGACACTTCTTCAACAAGGCGCTGCAGCACTGCATCTGGACACTGCAGGACATTAAGCAGCATCTTTGGCCTCTACCTAAAGACACCAGTCGGCACCCTTTAAGTCACAAAGACCAAACATTCTCTGAGGGCCAAGACCCACATGTGAGAACCTCCAGCTTACAGTGACACTAGCTGTTCCGAAGGAGTGGTTTTCACAGGAGCTATGATACTGGGGATGCTATCCATTTTGGGAGGGCTCCACTGTAACGATTTGGGGTATGTGGATGAAATGTAGGCAGGGACCACATGTGCTGCTAAACCTGAAGTGCTGAACCGTCAGAGGGCCATGTGCATGGGTGTACTACACTTATGTGATAGTGAACTCAGACTCTAACCTGGTCTCATTTGTAAGCACAAATTAATTGCTGTGGGCTTGGAGTTTATACAGAATTTCCCAGAAATGCAACAGCATTTTGTTTTGTTCAAAAACTTGTAAGGTCAGCTGATACTTAGGAAAATCACATCCCATGCAGAATGGCCCTTGCAGTGTATCTGTGGAGGCAGTATACCAGTGCTGGTCTGTCCCTGGAGGGACCTTGTGGCCTTGATTCACATCATTCGGTCATGAGTAACTGTGATTTAATCACACTTTATAAAATGGGACCATCTCTTACTTTTCTGCATTATACAAAGCAGTTTTTGTTTTTCCTTTTTTTGAGACAGGCTCTCACTACATAGCTCAGGCTGGTCTTGAGCTTCTCTGGACCCATCTGCTTCAGCCTAATGAGTGCTGGGATAGATATGTACACCACACCCCGCAGGGGGGGCAGGCTTTACCACCAGTGAGCTCACTTTGGCACAGAAACATCCTGAAATACCAGTTGCCAAGGGACCTGGGCTTGAAGGTTTGGGGCTCAGTATTTCCTGAAGGAAGCCAAAGTACACTATGGCAGTCCCCAGCCCCTCCTGCCAGACACACTATGCAACTTACCACATCTGTGCACCTGAGATTCAGAGGTCACAGCTAGCGCATCTCTCCTAGGTGGACTCTCTGTGGTTGAACACAGAAGTTGAGCCAATCGAGGGCTCTTCCACCCCAATAACGTGCACAGGGCTTTTCTCCTGTATGACTTCATGGATGTCAAACAGGGCTAGCGCCCTGCTTGCTGGCTGTGCTGCTCTGGTCTGACTCCTGGGGATCTGTCCTGACCCTGGCTGAGGATGCCGGGTGTGCTGGGTGCTCCGACTGCAGGGCTGCTGACATCTCTGGGACTGCGAGGTTGACTCCTCACCCCTACTGTGGGTGATCTGGTGACGGATGAGGTGGGAGCTCTGGGTGAAGCACTTCCCACACTGGGTGCACCTGAAGGGTCTGTCACTGCGCAGCACCCTTTCCTCCTGGTTCAGAGGTGGTGTGCAGGTAAGACTGTCTGCCCATTGTGGCCTCGCCAGAGCTGCTGCCTGCTCAAAGATGGGCCGGTAGGCTAAGGGTGGCTCCCCTGCATGCTTGCGCTGATGCTGGGCCAGAGAGGAACTGTGCCGGAAGCCCTTGCCACAGTGGTTGCATTCGTATGGCCGCTCCTCGGTGTGCGTGCGCAGGTGCAGGAAGAGGCAGGTGGTGCGTGAGAAAGCCTTGCCGCACACACTGCAGGCGTAGGGCTTCTCCCCAGTGTGTGTCCGCCGGTGCCGGCCCAGGGACGAGTTCTGGTTGAAGGCTCTCCCGCAGTCCTGGCAGGCATAGGGCTTTTCACCCGTATGAATGCGCCGATGCACGGTGAGGTGTGTGCTATGGCAGAAGGACTTGCCACACTCTACACACTTGTAGGGCTTGTTCCCTGTATGTATGCGCTCGTGCTGCACGAGTGAGGAGTTCTGGCTGAAGGCTTTCCCACATTCCTTGCACACATATGGCCGCTCGCCCGTGTGGATCCTCTTGTGCACAGTGAGGTGTGCATTGTGGTTGAACGACTTCCCGCAGTCAGTACACTTGTAGGGCTTGTCAGGGCCCTGGCTCTTGGGAAGCTCCGTGCTCAGGATGGCCTGCTCAGAGACCCTATGGTCCTCCTGGAGCTTTTCTCCTGGGGAGCTCGCTGGCTCACAGGCCACATCTTGCTCAGGGTGTGAGCCTTGCAATTGTGAGTCAGATGCACAGAGATGTTCTCTCTTGGAAATTGGGGATGGACCTGGGCTGGAGCTCAGCACACAGCTCTCTCTGTGTGGATGCCTTTCGCAGCCTTGACCGTGAACTGCCCCCTTCTCAAGGCCAGACACCAGTGGCCACCCATCCCTCCAGTCCTCTGTGTGTGCCTGGCCTTGGCCTTCACACGGCCGTGTGCCCCCTAGCAAGGAGGAGTAAGCAATGACCCTCGGGAACTCTTCCCTTTCTGTGCCAGTAGCCAGCTTCTCTTCGGGAATGTCTGGCTCCCAGCCTGCAAGAGAACCCAAGGCTTGTAAGTTGTTGTGGAAGGTAAGGAGAGGAACTGGGCCCATTACTTCTCTAGGATCCTATCCACCTGCCCAGCAAGCCCCCAATTCAGCCTGTCCTTAAATTCGGCTTTGCTCATGGGCCAGGGACTGACCCGTGGCACCAAGGGGAGGGCACAGGCTTTCTGGCTAGTGCTGCTGCTCTCCACACTTCAGTGCTGTAACACATCCCCACTGGGGTGAACCACTGAAAGTCCATGCATGACTGTCCTACTGTGTGGCTTATACCACTGGTGGTACAAATCAATCTGACCACTTTTTTTCTGTTTTCTTTTTTTTGGGGGGGTGGGGATCGGACACGGTCTCATTATGTAGTTCAGGCTGGCCTTGAATACACAGCAATCCTCCTACCTCAGCCTCCCAAGTGCAGGGACTACAGGTATGTGTCACTTGATGCCTGGCTGGATCTGATCACCCTCATTGGTCTTTTTATTAATAAAATTTTAAAAAGACTGTAAGTGGACTGAATCTAGTTAGTTATTTGAATCTGAATAATTACTGACCAAATACAAGTATTAGTACTATTATAAAAGAGCATACCCAGGTTCGCTATATATCATCATATGGTCAAATTCGAATCAAAGCTGCCTAGGAGACAAATATTATAGCCCATCATGAATGTGTTAAAGCAACGTATACTTCATATCTCAAGTTCTGGGAGACGCAAGTCCTAAGCCTGAGATCAGCAAGGCTGGCACCCTAGAGGCTCAGGGCAGAGGGCCTTTACCTTCTCCAGTTCTGGGAAGGGCCTGGTACCTTGGCCCTTGCTGCAGTTCCAGGGACAGCAGTGTGGCATCCTCCAGTGTCCCAGTGACTTCTGTATCTCATCATGTATCCCTTTTTGCCTCTGACCCTTGGGAGCACACTGGCTATGGGGATCATGGTGTGGACTCTGGGGTGCCCTTAGCTTTCTCAAGCCTCCTCAGCTATATGAGTCTTGTCAGTGACACAGGCCTGTGCTTATCTTTCAGGGCTCAGTGGACAGCTAGTGGTGCTCAGAAATCTCTGTCTTAGGGAATGCTGACAGCTCAGCTACAGGAAAGGAACCAGGCTGGACGCCAGCCCCCAAATCTGGCTGTGTCCACAGCACCATCAGGGTTCAGATAAAATAGTTAAGGACACACAAAACCCTATATACCAATGTTCACAACAGCATTCTTCTTAAACACAACAGAGCGGAAACAACCCAAATGCCCATCAACTGATAAGTGGATAAAGAGAATGGCACATGAATCACACCCTATTAAAAGCTGCTGCCACCTCATCCCATCGCAAGTCTGCTGAGATGGCTCCTCCACTGACTGAGCATGCTGACAATGTAGCAGGCCCTGTGCTGGCTCTCTCTGCTCCTAGGCTTCCTCTGTCTCTCTTGCACACAATGCAACCTCTACCTGGAACCCCAGCCCCAGACCTCTGCCTATTTCTATATGACTTCCTGCAACAGGCTTCTCTGCTTGTTGTGGGCTGAGCACCCTGCCCTACATGCCCCAAGTATAATTTTTTGGTTACTCCCATCTCTACATGGCACTGGTATCCACATCTCAGACCCAGCTGAGTGAGGTCTGGCCTCATCCCACTGCAGAGGAATATTTGCCAAAGGGGCTCCTGAGCTGGCAGGCTGGCTTGAGTTACTAGATAGAAGTTGGCATGAACCCTGTCCTGGGTAGATTCTGCCAGTAGGAAGGAGGCAGAGGAAGGGCCTGCGGGGAGATGGCCTGAGGCCGACTGGGCTGCAGAGTGCTGTCTCTGCAAGAGCCTCCACCCCTGCCACAGCAGGAAGGAGGGAGGTGAGGAGGAAAGAAGCAAAACACCATAGCACAGTAGGTAAGGCTTAAGCCCTGGCACCCAGCCATCAATCCTTGGCTAGTGGCTATATCAGTCTGTGACTATACAACCTTCATAAAGACTGACAAAAAGGACACTGCAGATAAGACTGAAGTAGTAGTCTTGCCAGGGATACAGCTCAGTAGCATAAATACCTGCTTGGCAAGTGCAAGGTCCTGAGATCAATTCCCAAAAAAGAAAAATAAAAAGGAAAAGGAAAAGGAAAGGAATCTTAAAGTAGGAGGTTGCCCGAGGGCCTACACCTCACCCTCTAGAGGGCCCCTGTTGGAGTCAGGGCAGGAATGATGATGGAAATGTACAGTGACCTGCTTCTGTGACGGAGAAGGACCTATGGGCCCAAGATGTAGGTGCCTCTTGGAGCTAGGAAGGAAAGGAAAGGGAGTTTCCCCTGGTCACCAGTAATAACCAACCCTGTGAACCATCTTGAACTTCTAACTTACATAACTGATAACTTAAATCTGTTTTTCTCAAGCCATGTAGACTGTGGTCTTTGTTACAGCATCAATAAGAAACTAATACAAAATATTATATGGAAAACGTATTTTTAACATAAAAGGACATGCCAGTGATGGTGGCACACTGCTGAAGCAAATGAATCTGCCTCCCATGACTGGAGGCTGAGGTAGGAGGATTACAAGTTCTAGCCTAGTCCAGACAACTTAGCAGGACCCTACCTCAAAACAGAAAAATAAAAGGGATGGAGTGTAGCTCAGTGAAAATACCCAGGGTTTGATCAATCCCAGTACCACCACCACAAAAGAAAAAAAAAAAAAAAAAAAAAAAAAAAAAGATGCAAACATAAAGACGCAAAGATAGCTCAAGACCAGAACAGGTGCATGTGCTCGGGAGGGCTCTGCTGCACCTTTCCCAAACGCCTGCTGCTCCCACGGCATTTACAATGGTGTGTGTGCTACGTTTTGAAAACACTGTCATAATTTTAACATCATACTCCAGACCCATGCAAGCAAGATATTCTGCTTAATATTCAATATCTCAGAACCTGGATTTAGTTACGGGGTAGACCTGAGAATCACAGGTACATATTCAATGAGGATTTGCTTCTGCCCAATGAGTCTGAAGCAACAGCAGTGAGACCCAAAGGAAGGATTTGATCTGCCCCAGCTGAGGGTCCCATGTGTGCTTCCTCGGGGATTGAGAGCTCCAGGCCATCAGAAGCTTAGATGGGAGGCTAAGTGTTGGGCACTGCCATATCCTATCTATTCCAGGACGGGGCCAGGCACCAGTGTGTCAGCAAAAGGATCAAGACTTGCCTAATCTAATTATGAACATCTCAACTGCTCCTTCCATTTTCCCTGGCAACTGGGTAAGTGAATGTAACTCGATTCTGACCCCAGTGGATGATATCTGGAGTGCTGACAAAATGAGACAGATATGAGTACCAAAATGAGACAGATATGAGTTCTTCCTACCTTCACCATTTCTTCATGACTAGAGCACCAATGCAACGGCTGGAGCTGCTGCAATCACACGGCAACCCTGAGGAAAGGTCAGGGGAATCCAGAACTATGAGCACTGGGACCTCTCAGATGCGAAGCCAGCCATAGCAACAGGTGACTCAGGAGTCCTTTTATGTGAGGAAAATGCTTCCCGCATCTTTAGAGGTGTTCTAACCTGACTGTAAGGTACCTACAGCTACATACAATCATTTTTTGGTAAGAGAACATAAGAAGGATGTGGGAACTGGTGTAGAGAATCCAGTATGCAAGAGCAAGATGAAGAAAATGAAGAGCAGGTTTATATATCAGGAAGGTAGCTGGAGCCTGACTAGACAGAAATGATCCAGAGGGGATGATGAAGCAGACGGAGAAGAGATGAATACACTCCAGGTTCAGAGGAAGGAGCCATCCTCAGAAGCCTGCACAAGTGTGGTTCAGGGATGCATGGGTAGTGTGGCTTTTAGGAGGGCTCCCCACTCTATGGAATTGCTCACTGCATCCCAGCATTTAAGCACATCACATGGCCCAGTCCTCTGTGACCAGCCCCCCTCAGAAACCCCAACACTACCAGGTCCCTTGCCAGACGACATTCCTGTGTGTACTCATGGTGTACTGCTGGGGGAACGAATGGAGCTTGTCTTCCACTCGGGAGATTCGGAAGTTGTTGGTCCTTCTGCATTTCACCCCAGTGAGCTCTGCTCTGTACCCTTTCTCTGCTATGTCCTGCAAGACTTCTTCTAAAGGGGTGGCATGAAGACCTCCAATAGCACCCTTCCCATCAAGCATATGTCCATCGATCACCTGGGCTCTCACCTGAACGGCAGTGCTGGGTGTGTCCTTGCTCCCCCACCCAGAACTCAGCCCCTTGCTCCAGCTGGGAGATGACATCAGGCTTAGGAAGCTTGGGACCTGGACATGGAGAGATGGCAGTGAAGAGGTGGAGGTTGCTCTGAGAGATGCCAGCAGCCCCAGTCCAGATGTGACAAAGGGTTTTGTACTGGACAGAAAAGGGCAGATTCTGCCCCATGCATGTGCCCACTGGAACAGACTCAGGTCAGGCTACACATCAGAGGCCCCAGGACCCAGACCTGCAATGGGGGAAGCAGGCTCACCCACAGAGAGCAGGTGCCCGAAGGTCTCCAGCATCACATCACGGTACAGTGTCCTCTGTGTAGGGTCCAGTTGCCCCCATTCCTCCTGGGTGAAGTCCACAGCCACATCCCGGAAGGTTACTGGCTCCTAAAAGAGCAAGCAGGGCTCAATCAGCTGGACCACCTACATCCATGATCTCTGGAGGGCAGACAAAAAATAAGGAACAAGAAACTAGGCAGGATAGGGTCCTGAGAGAATGCAGTACCTCGATGGTCATGTGCAGTGTGAACTATACAGCAAGGATCCCTGAAAGCACCCAGTGAGATCAACAAGGCCAACTCCAGCCATCTAGCACCTGGTCAGACAGTGAGATGACAAAAGAAACCACCTGAACTAGTATTTGCAGAGTTCTGAGCTCAAGAAATGGCTGCTGTGTTAAGACACAAAGTTTTAGGGTAGTTTGTTACACAGTAACAGCTAACTAATATTTCCACTGACCCTTAGATTAAAAGTTGGGCTCACAATCCTCCTAGTCACAGTCAATAACTCCTCTTCCTTCAGGCTCAATGTGATCAAAGTGGATAAGGAGAAGATCCCATGGGACCTTATCCTGTAAAGAGTGGGGCCAGAGGTTAGGAGGGGGCAGGTACTTTATCGCTGGGAAGCAGGGTTTTTTACCTGACTATGCAAAAATACAAAGTCCATGTGGTCAGGACTGTCTATTTCTAGAGACAAGGCAGAAATAAACTGAGTAAATTTTCTTTTGGTACCAGGGATGAAACGCAGGACCTTGTGCTTGCCAGGCAGGTGCTTGTACCACTGAGCTAAAACCTCAGCCCAAGTCAAATTTTTATGTGGAAAACTCCAACCTTTGAGCCAAGTTATGTTGGTATACTTAAGTAATCTTAGCATCTTGGGAGGCAGAGGCAGTGGGATCACAAGTTAAAGCCCAGCCTGGACTTCCAGGAGAACATGGCGGATAGAGAACAGCAGCTATGGAGGCTCTCTGAGATAGCCAGCCTAGATTCCAGGAATGGTATGGTGTGGGGAGTCCTAAGCAGGGGAAATATACCCTGCCAACCCAGGAACGAACTAAGCTGAGAGAAACCAACTGAAAATGCAATTCTGGTGCTTCAATGGGAACAGCTAATATCTCAGTGCCGAAGCTGGAAACTACACCTCTGAAAACCATGCCTTAAATTTCCTGCCGCCGCTGCTGCATCTGAATTGGCACAGCAGGGATACAGACGCGAAAGCTCTGAGAGTGGGAAACAGCGAACTGAATTGAGAGCAGAGCTGGCGGGGAGCCCTGCATTGACCTGCGGTGAGTGAGAAGAACGGGGACCCTTCCATAGACTAGGAGGCTCCAACAGAGGACATTCTGGGGCTGGGCAGACTAGCCAGAACAGAACGCTGCAGTGACTTCAGTCACATATTCCCCTCTCAAGTGAGATTGGTGGGGAGCGCTTGACCTGGGTGATGCCATGGACTAAGACCCAGTAGGCTAGCCCAAACCAGGTCCCTGCACCTGGTAGTGCACCCTAATGCAGTGAAGCCTTCAGCAGGTTGACTGACCAGGAGGGGTGGGCCCAACATAGGCTGCCCAGGTCTGTGTCTCCCTAGTACACTGCGGTGGGCAGGAATACCTAGCTGGTGTGATCCAAACAAACTGTAACCCACAAAGAAAGAAACTGAGCCTCCTATATACGCTTGTATGGAAGGAACAAAAAGTATGGGAAGAGGGAGCAACAAAATGGTCCTCAGTCCCCAATTCTGAGACCACTGATTCAGGAAAGGTAAATGCAAAGGAGAATGAGGACAGAAAACATGAAATATCAGCCACGGCACCAAAAGACATGAAGTGATATCCCGGGACCTCATAGATGAGTTCAAAAGTGAAGATTTAACCAAGTAAAGCAAGATATAAGTAGAATAGTTAAAGAAATACTAAGCACTTCCCAAGTAAAAACAGATGGTGGAATGGAAGAACAGAAAAAAAAGAGAATTGTTTGATGGAGAAAATAGAGAAAATGTAGAATACACGAAGCAGGTTCAAAGAGATTACCAGGAAACTAAAAACTCTATTGAAAGCTGACATAGCTCCCCGCGTGTCTGGAGGACTGTGGATGTCTCAGCAGGCAGTGGAGCATCGCAGGTTCCAGAGGCCCTGCAGCCTGTGGTGAGTGCTCAGCGCACTCTGCCCAAATCCCATACTGTTCGGGACCCTCCAGGCTTCTGGGTGCAGTGAAGTGGAGAAGTGGGTTTGAGGCCTCTACATCCGCCTCCCCATCCTGGCTGCACTTGGAGAACTGTGGAGCTTCCAACGGGTAGGCGGGCACACGCTATCCCTGGAGCCCAGCCTGTTTGGGACTCCCGCACGTAGCCATAGGTGTGCAGAGGAGGGGCTGGGCGGATCTGGGGTGCCTGCATCAGCCTCCCCGGGTGTCTGGAGGACTGTGGATTTCCCAGCAAGCAGGGAAGGATCGCAGGTTCCAAAGGCATCGCGGCCTGTAGTGAATGCTCAGCGCACTCTGCCCAAATCCCAGACTGTTTGGGACCCTCCAGGCTTCTGGGTGCAGTGAAATGGAGAAGTGGGTTTGAGGCCTCTACATCTGCCTCCCCATCCCGGCTGCACTTGGAGAACTGCTGAGCTTCCAACGGGTGGGCGGGCCCACGTTATCCCCGGAGCCCAGCCTGTTTGGGACTCCCGCACGTAGCCATAGGTGTGCAGAGGAGGGGCTGGGCGGATCTGGGGCGCCTGCATCAGCCTCCCAGTGTGCCTGGAGGACAGTGGATGTCTCAGCAGGCAGTGGACCATTGCAGGTTTCAGAGGCCCTGCAGCCTGTGGTGAATGCTCAGTGCACTCTGCCCAAAGCCCAGACTGTTTGGGTCCCTCCAGGCTTCCTGGTACAGTGAAGTGGAGAGGTGGGTTTGAGGCATCTACATTCGCCTCCCCATCCCAGCTGCGATTGGAGAGCTTTGGAGCTTCCAACGGGCTGGTGGGCGCACAGTGTCCCTGAGGCCCAGCTTATCTGGAAGAGCAGAGTTCTGAATAGGCAGAGGAGGGCCACTGGTTTTGCAGACCCAGTGGCTTGGGGTAACATGGTGCCAGAGACTCAGTAGTTGCAAACATAGAAGGGGATTTCCAACAGATCCTGAGGAAGCTTTCAAATAACACTTGAAACACAGAAATATAGGAAAATGACAAAACGAAAGACCAAATTACAACCTCAAACCTCCAGCCCATCTCAAGAAACCCTAGGAGCAATGTATATAGGAGAAAATATATGCCATTCACCTCAAACATCGGACACAATAGCTACTGAAATTAACAAGCAACTGCAGGAAGCTTTAAAGAAATTCAAACTCATAATCTCCCAGATAAAAGAAGAAATGATAAAAGAAATGAAAGAGATTCTGCATATATCTAAAGAAAACAGTTATAAAATTGGAGAAACTAAACAAAAAGATAGAATCCCTAGATGAGCAATATAAGAAACAAACAGAATACATAATGCAGATGCACAGAGATATACAGGAAATAAAACACTCCACTGAAAGTTGTAAAAACCACCTTAGTGAAAGTGAAGATAGAATTTCAAACCTTGAAGACAGAATCGCAGCTAGTGAACAGGAAAGGAAAGATCTTTTAAAAATAACAAGGATTCAGGAAACAATAATTCAACAACTGCAAGACGATGCAAAGAAAAATAACATAAAAATGATAGGGATTAATGAAAAAGGAGACAACATAAAGGATGTCAAGAGGATATTTAGAGAAGTAATAGCTGAAAATTTCCCAAGCATGAGATCAAAAACCCGACAGCAGGATCAGTGAAGCATATAGAACTCCAAATAGTCATAACCAAAATAAAACTACACCCAGACATATAATAATCACCATCCCAGAAATCCAACACAAGAATAGATTACTAAAAGCTGTCAGAGAGAAAAGACAGATCACTTATAAAGGAAAACCTATCAGAATCACAGCAGACTTCTCAGCACAAACAATAAAGTCAAGAAGAGAATGGAGTGAAGTATTCCAGATCCTAAAGCAAAATGATTTCCAACCTAGACTGATGTATCCTGAAAAATATCAGTCAAAACTGATGGTGAAATACGATACTTCCATGACAAAGAACAGCTGAAGAACTTCATGAACACCAAACCAACCCTGCAAAAATTATTGAAAGACAGTTTAGATACACAAAGGAAAAAACCACTAAGCAAAGCAAATAATTAAACAGAACAGAAAGATAAAGATGCAACAGCAGAGAGATAACATGTCAACAGTAAACCAGCATTTAACAGTAATAACCATTAATGTAAATGGTCTCAATGCACCAATCAAAAGAAACAGACTAGCAGAATGGATCAAGAAACAAAATCCAACCATATGCTGTTTACAGGAAACCCATCTAACCCAGAAGGATACTCACAAACTGAAAGTCAAAGGATGGAAAACAATTCTTCATGCAGCATGAATCCAAAAAAAGGCAGGAGTAGCCATTCTGTTTGCAGACAACGTGAACTTTAAACCAACAATGACCATAAAGGATAAAGAAGGTCACTACATACTCGTAAGGGGAAAACTCCAAGAGGAAGAGATAACTATCTTAAATATATACGCACCAAACTCCAGAGCACCCAGTTATATAAAACAATTATTAACAGAAATGAAAATTCAAATTATCAGTAACACAATTGTAACAGGAGACCTTAATACACCATTGACACCAAGGGACAGATCAACCAGACAGAAAATGAGCAAAGAAATAACAGAACTGAATCATACCGGTGAACAAATGGGTTTGATAGACATATACAGAATGTTCCACCCAAAAACATCAGAATACACATTCTTCTGAGCAGTACATGGATCATTCTCTAAAGTAGACCATATATTGGCTCACAGAACATATTTAAACAAGTGCAAAAGAGCTGACATCATCCCTTACATGTTATCGGATCATAGCGCTCTGAAATTAGAAATTAATGATAAAAGATACTGCAAAAATCCCACAAACACATGGAAACTAAATAACACACTCTTGAGTAATCAGTGGGTTACAGAAGAAATTAAAGAAGAAATTAAACAATACCTAAAAGAAAATGAAAATGCAGATACAACTTACCGGAATTTGTGGGATGCAATGAAAGCCGTCCTCAGAGGAAAATTTATTGCACTGAGTTCCCACATCAGGAAAACAGAACGAATACAAATAAATAACTTGATGCTACACCTCAAACAGCTAGAAAAAGAAGAGCAAGTCAAGCCCAAAGCCAAAAGAAGAGAGGAAATATAAAAATCAGACCAGAAATCAATGCAATAGAGACTAAGAAAACAATCCAAAGAATCAACAAATGAAAGAGTTGGTTCTTTGAAAGAATAAATAAAATCGATAAGCTCCTAGCCAACCTTATTAAAAAACAGGAAGAAAAAGCTCAAATTCATGCAGTAAGAAATGAAAAAGGTGAAATCACTACAGGCCCAATAGAAATACAGAAGATCATCAACAGCTATTTCGAAAACCTCTACTCTCAAAAGTTTGATAACACAGAATAGACAGATTCTTAGAAACATATGAAGTACCAAAGCTAGATCAAGAGGATGTAAAATTGTTGAATAACCCAATCTCTGTTAATGAAATTGAAAATGTAATTAAGTCGTTACCTGCAAAGAAGAGCCCAGGCCCAGATGGGTTCACTGCAGAATTCTACAAGAAATACAAAGAAGACCTAATGCCGACACTCCTCAAACTATTCAATGAAATTGAAAGGGAAGCAATCCTTCCTAAGTCATTCCTGGAAGCAAATATTACTCTAGTACCAAAACCTGAGAAAGACCCAACTAAAAAAGAGAACTATAGACCGATCTCCCTAAAGAACACAGATGCAAAAATCCTCAATAAAATATTGGCAAACAGGATGCAGCAAATCATCAAGACGATTACACACCATGACCAAGTGGGATTCATTCCAGGAATGCAAGGATGGTTCAACATACGTAAATCAATAAATGTAATCCACCATATCAATAAAGCCAAAAGTAAGAATCACATCATCATTTGTATAGATGCAGAAAAAGCCTTCGATAAGGTCCAACATTTATTCATGATAAGAACTTTACAGAAAATTGGTATAGATGGTCTTTACCTCAATATAATAAAGGCCATTTATGACAAACCAACAGCCAGCATCATACTAAATTGCCAAAAATTTAAAGCCTTTACTTTAAAATCAGGCACAAGACAAGGATGTCCTTTATCACCACTCCTATTTAATATAGTACTAGAAGTACTAGCCAGAGCAATTAGGCAAGACAGAGAAATAAAAGGGGTAAAAATAGGAAAAGAAGAAGTTAAATTATCACTGTTTACAGATGACATAATACTCTACATAGAAGACCCCCTAAACTCCATTGAAAGACTCTTAGATACAATAAATAAATTCAGTAATGTGGCTGGATACAAAATCAATACTCAGAAATCAGTACCATTCCTATACACGAACAACAAAATCACAGAGAGGGAAATAAGAGAAACTACACTCTTCACATTAGCAAGCAAAAAAATGAAATATATAGGAATTACTCTTACGAAAGGAGTGAAAGACTTATACAGTAAAAATTATAATACACTGAAAAAAGAAATTGAAGATGATCTCACAAAATGGAAAGACATCCCTTGTTCATGGATAGGATGAACAAACATTGTGAAAATGGCCAGTCTCCCAAAACTGTTATACAGATTCAATGCAATCCCAATAGAAATACCATCAACATACCTTATAGATCTAGAGAAATCACTCCTAAATTTCGTCTGGAACCAGAAGAGACCTAGAATAGGAAAGGCAATTCTAAGCAGCAAAGACAAAGCAAGAGGCATCACAATCCCTGACTTGAAGTTATACTACAAAGCAACAGTAGTAAAATCAACATGGTATTGGAATCAAAACAGAGCCGAAGATCAGTGGAATCGATTAGAAGATACATCTACAAGTACAAACACACTCGACCACCTTATCTTTGATAAAGGAGCCAGGCAGGTTCACTGGAAGAACGACAGTCTCTTTAATAAATGGTGCTGGAAATACTGGCTCTCCATTTGCCAAAAACTAAAGCTAGACCCATGTCTATCACCCTGTGCTAAATTAATCTAAATGGGTCAAAGATCTGAATATTAAAACAGAAACACTAAATCTATTAGAAGACAAATTGGGTAGAAACCTTGAAGACATAGGAGTACGTAGAGAATTCATGAACAGGACTCACACCGCACGGGAAATACTTCCCAGAATCAATAACTGGGACCACTTCTTATTCAAAAGTTTCGGCATGTCAAAAGAAATCTCCAGCATAGTGAAAAGAAAACCCACAAACTGGGAAAAGATTTTAGTGAACTCTCTCTCAGACAAAGGACTCTTGTCTAAAACATATAAAGAATTAAAAAAACTAAGACCCCCATAATTCAAAGATCCAATTCAAAAATGGGCATCTGAGATGAATACGCACTTCCCAGATGAAGAAATGCAAATGGCAAATAAATACATGAAAAAATGTTCATCATCATTGGTCATTAGAGAAATGAAAATTAAAGCCACACTGAGATACCATCTCACTCCTGAAAGAATGGCCAGGATCAAGAAAACCAACAACAACAAATGCTGGAGAGGCTATGGGGAAAAAGGAACTCTCCTACACTGGTGGTGGGAGTGTAGACTGGTGCAGCCTTTGTGGAGGTCAGTCTGGAGATTTCTTCAAAAGCTGGGATTGGAAGTCCCATTTATTCTGGCTATTCCACTTCTAGGCATATTCCCAGAAGAACTGAAAGCATCATACCACAGTGCTATATGTGCACCTATGTTTATAGCAGCACAATTTGTAATCGCCAGATCTTGGAAACAAGCCAAGTGTCCATCAACTGAGGAATGGATAAAAAAGTTTTGGTATTTCTATACAATGGAGTATGACTCAGCTATAAAGAAGGATCACATTGAGATATTTATCAATAAATGGAGGCAGCTTGAGACCATACTCATAAGTGAAATAAATCAATCTCGCATGTGTGAATACCGAATAGTTTTCCTAATATAAGTAATGATTCAAATATATAAAATATGTGGTAATCATGATTCCCCATTATGTGGAGTTGAAGCCTTATAAAGTTTTCACTTATTAATTGGAAAGGCTTTATTCTGGGCTTCTTGATATGGAAATATTTGAAGCTATATGAAGTTTTATTGAAATATTTCAAGGAAAAAGACAGACACTATGGTAACTACTAGTAAGTCAGTTTATTTGGTGGTGAAGCACTAGGTTGCTAAAACAGTCATGCTTTGACCTGTATTGTTATATTGTTATGTCCTCTTTTATCTCAATCTCTCCCTTATTAATTAAAAAAATTAGTTATTTTTTATGTTTTTTTAATTAAGGGGAAAATTAAAAAAATTAGCAGGATATATAATAGTAACTTTTTTTGATTTCCTATTAAGTTGTTTTGAAGTCCTGTAATACTCCCACTATCTTGTTTTGACTGATTAAACTCTGTTCCATTCTGTATGATAGTATCAAGTTTGAGGGTATAGGCAACTACTTTGAAGGCAATAAGATTCACTAAGATGCCCATTCTGGTTTGACTATTGTCTCCTTTGGAAGTCCTGTAATGTTTACAATGCTTACGTTTTATTGGTCTTGTTCTCTACTGTTTTGTTCAACTTTATAATATCTAATGAGATAGACAATTCTTTTTAAGGAAACAAGAGACATTGTTGATAACCATTGTTGATAACCTTGTACTCTGTTTTACATCATGTGCTATGTCTATCCTTGGTTTTGACTGACAGCTTTGTTTTGGCATATTTGACTTTATTCTCTCCACCCCCCCAAAAATTAGTAAGAACTAAGGAGTAATAAAACCCAAAATGTGTGGATTTTGTTGTAAAAAAGAGAGGGAAAAAAAAGAGCTCTAAAGGATACAACAGCAAGTGTGTTTAGGAGTGTTAAATAGCTGACCATATTAATGTTTTTGGTTGGATCATTGAACACAACTGTTTGCAGTCTCACTGTTTGAATGTCCACTTTGTATGCTTTGATACTGTGACTTGAGCACTATCTCTAAGATGATAATATGTAATGTATTAATTGGTGATTTCTTACTGGTTTTTTTTGTAGTTCTGTATTACTTGTATCCTTATTCTGCTTTGTTTTGTTTTGTGTTTTTCTCTTTTTCCTTTTAAATAAAATTTAAAAAAAAGAAAGCTGACATAACAGCTTGAAAGAAACTAAGGATAGATTATCTGAACTGGAGGACAGATTTGTAATGTGGGAGCATGAAAGGAAAAACTTAACAATAACAATGAAACAAGTAGAACCAATACAAAGGCTAGAGGATGATAAGAGGATCTGTAATTTCAGAATTAAGAATGCAAAGGAAGAAGCAGGGATACAAACAAATGAACTGCAAAGGCTATTCACAGAAATAATCAAGAACAACTTCCCTAATATGGGTAAAGGTAAAGATATTCAGATCTATAGGGGCATACAGGACCCCAGTCACCTACAACCCCAAAAAAACTACACCCAGGCATAGAATAATCAAAATTCCAGAAATCCAATATAAGAACAGGATATTAAAAGCCGTCAGAGACAAGAAACAGATTACTTACAAGGGAACACCCATCAGAATTACAGCAGACTTCTTGGCACAAACCATCAAAGCACAAAGAGCGTGGGGGGAAATAATTCAAGCTTTGAAAGATAATAACCTCCAGCCAAGTTTGATATATCCTGCACAACTGTCCCTAGAAATTCATGGAGAAACAAGGTGCTTCCAGGATAAAGAGAAACTAGGGGAATTTGCAACCATCAATTCAACTCTACATAGAATGCTACAGGACATTCTAAAAGAGAAAAATACCAAGAATCCAGAAACAGTGGATTCTGGCCAGAAACAGAGAGGCCACAATGAATGGAGCAGAAAACGAAATGAAGAAGACAAACTGACAACTAATGACAGAAAAAGAGCTCAACAGAAATGAGGCAGAGAAAGTTGGGTGGTAGGAACAGCTATTTTGCAGAAAACAAGACATCATAATAGCTAGTGGTGATTTAATAACATCTGGTTTTGAAGTCCCATCAAGCTTTTATTCTTTTGTCTCCATCGGTCTTAATATGTTGTATCTTATTGGATTTTATTATATGTGATAATATAAACAAAAAACTTTTATAGACAAGGAGATAATACAAAAACAATTGTTCATTTTCTGTTAGTTGGTTCTAAATACCCTGTAATACTATCATTCTCTTGAGTGGTATTACATTGTCTTGCTATGTTTGATGCTACAGTAATATGAAGTTATACTCAAAGATTTCAAGGAAACAGACACTATGGTAACTACTTTTATGTCAGGATAGTGAAACACTATTTTGCTTAAATGGTTATGTCTGACCTGTGCTGTTTTGTTGTTATGTCCTCTTTTATCTCAGTCTCCTTTTTTATTATTTATTTTTTATCTTATTAAGGGAAAAATAAATAAAAAATAGCAGGATATATTATAGTAACCCACTTTGATTTCCAATTAACTTGATTTGAAACCCTATATTGCTCTCACCATCTTGTTTTGACTGATTTTACTCTATTCTGTTTTCCTTGATAGTACCAAGTTTGAGAGTATAGGGAACAACTGTGAAGATAGTAAGATTTACTATGATACCCATTCTGGTTTGACTATTATCTTCTTTTGAAGCCCTGTAATGTCTCAAATGTTTTGGTTTTATCGGTTGTGTTCTTTACTGTTTTGTTCAATTTTACTAAAACTGATGATATAGGCAATTCTTTTTAAGATAGCAAGAGGCATTATGGTAACCACTGTTGATCACCTTGTATTATGTTTTTACATATGTACTATGTCCATCCTTTTGATATGACTGACTGTTTTGTTATATCACATTTGGTTTTTTTCTCTTTAAAAAAAAAGTAATAAGAACTGTGGGAGTAATAAAACCCAAAATGTGTAACTGTCGTTATAAAAAGAGAAAAAGGAAGTGCTCTAAAGGATATAACTGCTTGTATATTTAAGCATGTAAGACAGATAACCATATTACTGAGTTTTTGTTGGATCATTGAACAGAACTGTTTGCAATCTGTTTGAATGTCCACTTTATATGTTTTAATTTTGTAACTTGAACAACTATTTCTAAGATGACGATATGTAACTATTAACTAGTGATTTCCTGTTTATTTATTTATTTTTTTTTGAAATTCTGTATAACTTGTACCCTTTTTCTGTTTTTTTTTTTTTTTTTTCTTTTTCTCCTTAAATAAAAATAGCCCAGCCCGGGCAACATAGTGACTTAGTAAGACCTTGTCTCAAGGTAAAAAATAAAAAAGGGATGGAGATATAGCTCAGCAAAAAGGTGCTGGGTTTTGTCCCCAGTACTACAACTAAGTAAATACATAAGAAACCCCTGCCCACAGAAATTGGTATAGTGTATCTAAAATACGTTCCTCAAACAAAACTCTTTGTTGGGCTGCCTATGCTGTCTCACCAAGCCAGGTATTTCTGATTAGTCTCACTTCAGCCACTTCCTCCTCAGAGGTACTATGTACCTTGCTCTGCCTCCCAGTTTCCATGGACCTAAAGCACCACTCTTTTAGTGCTAAGGTGAGCGTTATGTGGCTAAAAGAAACACTTACTTTAGGACAACTGGATAGTCACATGCAAAAGAATAAAAAAGTTGGTTTCCCACTCTATACCACAAATAAAAATCAACTCAAGGGGCTGGGGATTTAGCTCAGCTGCATAAGCACCTCCCTTGCAAGCAGGCGCTTGTGAGTTCGATCCCTGGTACCAGAAAAAAGGAAAAAAAAAAAAATCAACTCAAAATGGGAACAGAGAAGTAAATATAAAAGCTAAAACTACAAAACTCTCAGAAGAAAACATAGGGATAAATCTCTGTGACCTTGGATTTGGCAAAGGTTTCTAGGCTATAAAGTTAAGTGCCCAAGCAACAAGAGAAAATAAATTTTGATTTCATCAAAACAATGTTTTTGTAATTCAAAGGACACTAACAAGATGAAAGGACACAAATATATCACACATCTAATAAGAGACTTAGATCTAGAATATATAAAGAACGCTTACAATTCAGTAATAAAACACAACCCAATTACAATGTGCAATGAATCTGGAGAGATTTTTTTTTTTCAAAATATATTTTTAAAAATGGCAACTAAACACAGGAAAAGATGTCAATGTTAATCACAAAAAAGGTACACAAATCAAAACCAAATCTTCAATCAAAAAGAAAAACTATTTCATTTTAAGAAAAACGTTAAGTACACTTAAAAATACTAAAGAACTTTTGTATGAGTGGCTCAGAGAGGAAACATGTATAAGCCTTTGGAGGGGAACAGAGGTCTCTGTTCCTATCCCTGTGTCCTCATCTTCTAGTTGTATGTCTGCCAACCCCAACATGTTCTTCCTGTGCCTCTTGCCCCGTCTGCTGTTATTGCCCACACTGCACAGGTCACGGCGAAACCCAAGAAGCCACGGAGTACTGGTCTATCCAGGCCATGAGACCAACCACTTGGTGGTGTCACATGAGTTGTTCCTGCCTTGGTCCTGCAGGGTTCCCCTGCAGCCCTCCTGCTCTGCACCACTGGAGCCAGTAGATAGGACTCAGATCTCTGTCCTCCATGCCAATCCTGTCTGCTGGCCAGGCAATGCAACACCAGTTTATTATTTCTCCTACTCTCATTCTTCAGATGCCTAATGGTGGGTCTTGTCCTGTCCTCACCTCCAACCCAATGCCAGTCCTACTCAAAACACCTGAACGTTTTCTCTTCACCTGAATCTTTTAGAGACTGAGTGCTCAAACTACAACCCCAAACCCATTTATTTATTACAAAATGCTCATTTTTAGACTACATGTGTGTTGTTTCAAGCCACCAAGTTTGTAGCGATTTGTTGTGACTGCTACAAGGAACTAAGATACTGGACCTGCCAGCCTTTGTTCTTATGGACCTGGCTCCTGTGGTGGCCAGCTCCTGCCAAGGACAGTGGTCTTACGTAAGTGTAAGGCACTGTGGAGCTGACAGTGTGGATCCGGAGGCCAGTCATGATGTGCCTCCTAACTCACCCTTCTCCATTCTGTGGGAAGCAAGAGCCTGTGTTGTGAGGTACCCAAGCAGTTCCACAGAGAAGTCCACGTAGAAAGAACTGAGTCCTCCTGCCAGCAGCCACAGGAGTGAGAATGAGCATCTTGAAGGTGGAGCCACTAGTTCCCTTCAAGTCAGCCAAAACCTTCAAACAGAGCTCCATGATCAACAGTTGCTAAGCTGCTAAACTGCCCAGGCTGGGCTCAAACTTGTGATCCTCCTGTCATCCTCCCGGAGTGCTGGTGTTACAAAGTATGTGCTACCATCACAATGAGTGAACTGCCTTGAAGGTAGATCCTCTAATCTACCCATGACTAGAGTGACTTGTTTTTGTTGATATTAGGGATTGAACCCAGGAGCTTGTACACACCAGGCAAGCACTCTTGACCCTGAACTACTTCCCCAACTTTTTATTTTCAGACAGGGTTATGCTACATTGCCCTTGCTGGCCTCGATTTTGTGATTCTCCTGTCTGAACCTCCCAGTTAGCTGGGATCACGGTCCATGGCACCATGCCCATGGGCTGTAACCTTGACATCTTGACTGCAATCTCAGGAGCTTGGGCCAACAGTTAAATCATTCCAGGGTGGCTACTAGAAACTGTGAAATCTACTTATTGTTTCAGGTCATGCATTTCTTAAGGTTGTTACGTAATAAATACTCTTCCTCAGGCCTTTTTTGCCATTTATTTCTGGCCAAGAACTAACTGTGGGATTACATCTCATGCGAATTCAGAATAACCCACACAGGAAAACTTCAATCTAAATTCTTAGTGGTTTCACTTTGAGTACCAAATCTAAAAAGGAACACTCTGATAAACCACAAAAAATCAACATTTCAAAGTTGCCGAGTATGAGGACAACCAAGTCGTTTATGGCTTCTGCTACACGGAGGCAGCGTTTTATGGATGGTAGTAGCAGACACAGTTCCGTCCGCAGTGCACAGCTCCGATGCAGCGACCTGGCCGCCCAGGCCAGCACACAAAAACCCAGCGCGGATCCCTAAAGGAAGGTCCTCGCGCCACGCCCTCCAAGCGAGGTGTGCCGCGGAGGTCACCGCCGCCCCTGTCACCGCGCGCCGGAAGGCGTCCCGCCACTACGACAGCGCTGCCGCCCCTGTCGCCGCAGGGAGCGCAGGGTCCCGCAGGAAGGAGCCTGCCACGACGCGGCCGCGCCGCGCACCCTCTGCGTCCAGGCGGGGTCCTGGGCCGGAGCGTCACTGGCGTCATTGTTATCATTACCTGAAGCCGTTTCCCCAGTAGCCGCGCACCCAGCCCAACGGCCGCAGTGTGGCCCTCGGCGTCCATGCTGAGCTCGCGCAGGGTGCACCGGCGCCCGACGCGACCCCCAGGTCACACGTTCGCTCTGGCTGAGAAAGCCTCCAAATCCTCCGCCCGCGGAATAATGGCGGCTGCGAGGGGGAATGCAGTGTCTACAACTCCCAGAAGGCCATGCGGCGCGGCGGCGGGCCAATGGAAACCCCTTCCCATGGGCCTTCCATCAAGGAGTCGTTTGGCCTCTTGGCCAATGGGAATTCTCGAACTGGACCTTCTTCCTAGGGGCTCAACCTACTCACTGGCCACCGGGAACCGCTGCCCTCGAGCTCCAATTAGTCTGGCGTTCTGACTCCTCAGAAGACGGCTGCAGGCTGCGGAGCCGGGTGGCCGCACCTTTGCCGCGGTGGAGCGGGAACGGAGTTCGGGGACCGTTCCCAGGTTGCGCTTGGCTTCCAGCTGCAGGGCAACGCACGCGGATTGGAGACCGCGGCGGGACGGAGGCCCAGTTCCCTCGGAGCCGACCGGACTTTCCCGTCTGCTGTGGGCGCCCCCGCCCTCGCCCTAGTTGGTTTTGAGCAGAATCACACCTGCAGTCGGTTCCTTGTAGGGGTTGGGGGCAGAGGAGGGGGCGCGGGAAAGGGAGCGGTGCCTGGCAGGAGCAGGTGAGAGCTAGGCAGAGTCAGCTGTGGTGCCGCCGAGGCTGGGCAAGAGGGTTATAAATTGTGGACTCTGATAAGATTATAGTGTGTCCAAAAGATGAGAAGTATAAAACAAAAGGCCTTTATTCTGAGAACGCAGAGAGAAAGAGAAAACAGCCCTCCCCCCCCCCCCCCCCCGTGGCCCCACCATGCCTCCTTACCTTGGAGCCAACTGAGTATGGACTGAAACCTCCAAAAACTTTAAGAAATAAACCTTTCCTTTCCCAACTTTGGGCATCAGGTATTTTGTCTCAGTGACGGAGTAAAAAGAAAGACAGTGTCAATCTGATTTGTTATCTCTTGATTGTCCCCTTTAAGGGGAGTATTCCTTTATAAAGCTGTTTGTCAAAAAAAAAAAAAAAAAAAAAGCTGTTCATGAATGGGATGGGCAACTTTATAGGTTTCTTATATGGCTAACCTAACTAAATTTTTGGTCTTTTTGGGCAAATTTTGTATAGAAATTTAATGGTAAGTTTAATGTTAATACACCTTCCAGTGATGTCTTTGCCTTGAAGACAATAATGCAAGGTAATTTTCATTTTTTATATTTCAGTAGAATGATCACATGTGGATAAATTACTAAGGTTGCTCCCCCAACGGTTGTTTCTGTGGGTGAGCATTTCTGTGGTTATTGGTGTGTCAAGAAAAGTTAAAATAACGAGAGTCAGCAAAATTCATTTGTTCACTAGGTGAACTTGGCTATGCTCCATTTCTTACAAGGAAAGGCTGGTTATCCTCCTCCTTGGGACAGAAATGTTATCCTTGAGTGCACTTTCAGGGTGAATGTCCTTGCATCTAGCCAAGGCTAGGAAAGGCTTGTTGGCAACAAGTCACTTTTATCTGAACACAGTACTTAAAAAATGAATAAACTAGATACAGCATGGCATTCCTTCTCTAGTCTGCCAAAGGTTCTGTCTCATACAACAGCTTTCCCCAGAGGATTCCTCTTCATCTTTGGTGCTGTCTCATTGGGTGGTAACATTATTATTTTTTTTTAATCAATACCAAGGATCGAACTCACGACTGCCTGCTTACAAGGCAGGTGCTTATGCCACTGAGCTAAATCCCCAGGCCCATGGTAACATTATTTGACAATGCTCATGTCTGCTGTACTTTTATAATAAACTGTCATTTAAAAAATCATTATGTGACCTTTCTCTGTGCAGATTAAAACCTCAAATTTCTGTGGCCACAACCTGTATGTGGTTCCTTGCTGTTACCTGGGGATACGTTTAATATAGAAATTTGATTCCCTGTGCCTAATAGAAATTTCCTACAATCACACCTTTTTCAATGTTGGGGCCATAATTCCTTAAGGTCATAAAAGGATAACTGTCTCCTCCACCTCCTGATACTGATCTTACTGGAAGGGATTACTGAACCATGGCTGGTCCCTCCAAATCATTTCTTTGGCCCTAGGTGGGGCTGTGGGACCTTGGGACACCTTAACGGTGGTTTGTTCCAGTGTTTTTGCAGTCAGGCTCTCCATTGCTTTGGGTCCATAGGTTAGTTTGAAAGGGGTTATTGTTCTCATAGGTCCCAGGGTTTGGGTGATGAGGCCCAGGCTTCCTCCTTTTTTTCTTTGGGAATTTATTCTATCCTGGCACAGGTGATTTTATATTGTTCCATAGATCCCTGTGTAATCTTACGTGCTCAATCTATTCTTGGTAGGTATTTGTTCCCTGTATAATTTTCAGATAATTTAATTTTAAATTCTCAGGTACACATTGCAAAGGAATTCTTTTTACTTTCCTAGTACTCTGTTGTCCCAGAGGGGTGTCTGTTACTCATCAGGTTTTTCAACATCTTGATATCTTTCTCAGACTGTTTCCACTGATGCCCTGAGAGTACTGAGTACACTGAGAAGTAAGGTTTGACTCGCCTCTAGGTCATTTGTATCTAGTGCCATAAAGATTTATTTACTTTTTTTTAATATAGGTTTTGGGTAGATAGTTCATTTATCTGTTAGTTTTCATGTGGATTTTCAGCTAGGTTACCAACTTCTAGAACTTGCCTATCAACATTTTTGCTCCTTTTTCTCAGATTTTGGATAACCAGTTCCCTTTCGCTTCTAGATTTTGTGCAAAATCATTTCTAATCTGAACCATATCCTGTCTGGTCATTTTTCTAGTTTCTCTTATTATTTGAGGTTCAGACAGTCTATGTCTGTATTCAATAATCAGTGCTTTTTGCTCACTGTAAGGTTTTGCCAGTAAGAGCTTTGCTCTTCATTGTGTCCTTATCTATATCTCTGAGGGCTTATATTTTTTTATTTGGTTTTTGGTACTGGGAGTTTAACTCAGGACCTTCTGCTTGCTAGGTAGGTGCTTGTGCCACTGCTACATCCCCGAGCCTCTGTGAAAGCTTTTAAAAGCAGTCCTGGTAGCTCCTTTTTTTGGCAGCTTATGATAATAGAGGCTCTAGGACCATGTCAGTTTTTCCTTTTTGCATTGAGACACCTTGTATAATACCTTTTCCTTTATTCTCTGTATGTTCTCCAATTTCTTATTCTCACAGATTATATTCCTATGACTGATACATTCTCTTAACCAGCAACACTGATTTAATCATCTGGTTAATTTCTCCCATGACCACCAGGTTAGATTCATTTTCAGTCGGGTAAAGGTTACCAACAATGTTACGGCTTGGTCAATCCAAATCATTACTCTGCGTTCTATTCCTCATTGTAGCCTTTTCCTTAGCCCCAGTTCAGCTACTAGGATCTTGTTGACTATGCCAAGTGTTGTTAGTGGAAGTGCAGGCTGCTACTGAGGCCAAAAGCCCTCTGAGGTAGGCCACTCTAGGGCTCAGAGGAGCAAAGGGAGTTGGTGTGCCTGTCAGAGATATGAGGGGTCAAGTAATTTTCCAAATGCAATGGTTATTGAGCATTTATCACATTCACGGCATGGTAGGACCTGGGCGCTGGAGATTGGTACAACCAAAAAGCCAAACAGTGTTTGGGATAGGCAGAGTGATGGTCACAGACAGTTGCAAAGCACAAGTCACAGCTCTGTATAGAGCAGTACCTGGGATTAGAGTCCACAAGTATTGAAGCAGAAGGCTGAGCTGAAGAGCAGCAGGGGGCTTCATCTTTCATGCCACAGGGGGTTGGATGCAAACAACATGTCCTAATCTGCGGTAGTGTGCAAATAATGTGCTAATCCTATGATGGTAAAAGTATTTTTCTCTTTATGGTAAAAATATATTTTTTAGAAAACAGATTTTATAAGTTTCCCAAACTGGTTCTGAGAGGTTTTTTGGCATGCAGGTTCTATGGTTGTCACACTGTATGGTTACTGCATAACTTATGTTACAGGCAGACTGTTCACAAAGTTATAAGTTAATTTAGACGCAAAAAGTAAGTTCAGAGCACGACAGAAGCATTCATGGCTTCTATTCTGCTCACATTATTGCAAGTAAGTTTGAAATTAGAGAATAAGAAGGCTTCTGTCCTGCTCAGATCAGCAGGTCATGCTTCTGATGCCTTGTGGTGTAGGTCTAGTAACAGTGGTACCCCACCTTCCCATTATGAAGTCCTCAGGTCGCAGTCTGGGACTTTTTCCTAAAAATTAGGAAACAGTACCTGTGGTTTATACCATACCCATGCAAATGGCACCAACGGGCCAACTGACAGAGATAACTCCACTCAGGCCTCTTCATTCTGTGCCTTCTCCAGGGAGACTTACTAGGCTTATGGTCAAATGAATCTTTTCTACTTTTCACTACAAAACTCGACAACTGTCATGGTCAATTTGTACATTTTCTCACACAATTTGTTTACCTTGAAGTTTCTTTTTCTTTTTTAAAATTTTACTTAAAGAAAAAGAAAAAAAACAGAAAAAGGGTACAAGTAATACAGAATTTCAAAAAAATAAACAGTAACAAATCAGTAGTTAATAGATTACATATTGTCATCTTAGAAATAGTTGTTCAAGTTACAAAATTAAAGCATACAACAAGGACATTCAAACAGTGAAACTGCAAACAGTGCTGACTGTTCAGTGATCCAACAAAAACTCAGTAATATGGTTAGCTATCTTATACACTTAAATATACATGCAGTTATATCCTTTAGAGCACTTTCTTTTCCTCTCTTTTTTACAATAATAATTACACATTCTGGGTTTTATTACTCCCACAGTTCTTACTACTTTTTCTTGGAAGAGAATAAAATCAAATGTGACAAAACAAAACAGAGTCAGTCAAATCAAAAGGATGGACATAGTACATGATGTAAAAACAGAATACAAGGTGATCAACAATGGTTACCATAATGCCTCTTGCTATCTTAAAAAGAATTGCCTATATCATCAGTTATAATAAAACAATGAAACATTACAGAACAAAACCGATAAAACCAAAACATTGGAGACATTACAGGATTTCAAAAGAAGATAATAGTCAAACCAGAATGGGTATCATAGTGAATCTTATTGCCTTCAAAGTAGTTGCCTATACCCTCAAACTTGATACTATCAAGCAAAACAGAATAGAGTAAAATCAGGTAAAACAAGATGGTGAGAGCAATACAGGGCTTCAAATCAAGTTAATAGGAAATTAAAATGGTTACTATAATATATCCTGCTATTTTTAAAATTTATTTTTCCTTTAATTAAAAAATAAATAAAAGATTGAGATAAAAGAGGACATAACAACACAAAAGCACAAGTCAGAACAGAACAATTTAAGCAACACAGTGTTTCACTACAAGATAACATAACAATAGTTACCATAGTGTCTCTTTCCTTAAATATTTGAGTATAACTTTGTATACTATAGCACCAAACATATCAAGACTGTATAAAACCATTAAAGAGAATGAAAGTATTACAGGGGATTTACAAGTAACTAACAGAAAATGAACAATGGTTTCTATATTATCTCCTTGTCTGTAAAAATTTTTGTTTGTACAATGACATATAATAGAATCCAATAAGATACAACATGATAAGACCGATGAAGAAAGAAGAAAAAAGCTTCATGGGACTTCAAAACAAGATTATAGTAAATCAGCACTAGCTATTACGATGTCTTATTTTCTTCAAAATAGCTGTTCATACCATCACAGACAATAAAATCAAAGAACCGAGAATAAAACCATT